CAGGCAGGAGGTAAGCTGGGGCTGGGGCTGGGGGAGGCGTGCCCAGTCCGGCCCCCCGGCCGAGCGGCACCGGCCCTGGCGGCTCCGGCCCGGCTCGGCTCAGGCCCCGGGGCACTGGCCCTGTTTCCGGCCGAGTGGCTCCAGCTCGGCTCGGGCACCGGGGCATGGGCACCGGCTCCGGCCCCAGGGCACTGGCCGAGTGGCTCCAGCCCCAGCGACTCCAGCTCGGATCGGACCCCAATCTGGCACCGGCCCCAGCACTGGCCCCGGCCCCGGCTGAGCGGCGCTGGCCGGCGGCCAAGCACCGTCGGCCCCAGCGGCTCCGGCTCTGGCCGCAGCGGCTCCAGCCTGGATCCAAGCCCCGCGACCCCTCCCTATTTTCCCGGACATGTCCGGCTTTTTGGGAATTTCCCCCCAGACGGGGATTTGAGGACCAAAAAGCCGGACATGTCCGGGAAAATCCGGATGTATGGTAACCCTACCCTGTAGGACACACAACAAAGCAAGCAGAGTTGCAGCCCCACCCCCAGTGTGGACCCTGCCCCAGGAGGGCTATCCCAAGCTCAGCTGTAGGCTACGTTCTGGGAGGCAGGGCTGCATTTACACCCAGGGAAGTGAAGACAAGACATTCACTCTTGGCCTGGTGCTTTCAGCAGAATAGAAGTGCACAGGTCTACCCCTTCCTGGCTGCACCAAGTCCCAAAGGAGGAGGGGATATTCCCCTGATACCTCTCTTGTTGCACTTAAAGGCCTGGGGAGAAAGGGGCATTAACCCCTCCCCACCCTCAGCCCCACTCTATTGAGTCCCAGAGTGAGTGGAGCTGTGTTCCCCGCTCTGAACTCCCCATCTATCTGCTCCCTGCAGTGGTCAGGGCCTGGGGGAGAATGGGGCATGACTGCCCTCTCCCTGACATACTGCCACCGCCCCTTACCTGACTCCACTTCACACTGCCACGGCTCCACACCACCACAGCAGCCCTGTTCTTCAAAGCTTCCATCCCTGTGCCATTGGTCACCAAGCCCTTCCAACTCTGCCCTTTCTGAACTCCCATTGGTTGAACCAAAAGGAGAGCAAAGGTCAGCTACATTACCCAGCATGTTGTGCATCTGCCATATGTCAGGGCTGTCCTTAGTGGGTGCGGGGCCTGGGGCAGAAGTGACAGATATGTCTCTTCTGGGACTGACTGCGCTGACCAATTGCACCAGCCCGCGGGGATCCCCAAAGCGTGGGGCCCAGAGTGGGGGGGCCCAGTGCAGAAGTGATGGATTCGTCTCTTCTAGGACCAACCACACCAGCTAATCGTACCAGCCCACCGGGCCTCCCAAAGCGTGGGGCCTGGAGCGGTTGCCCTGATTCGGTCTACCCAAGGGACGGATCTGGCCAGAGTTTCTCCAAACAAAGGCTGATGTGCATGTGTGGCTGACACATATTCTGGGGAATGTTGTTTTTATGCAGGAAATGACATTAAATTGGGAATGGGGAGTTTTTGGTTGCAAACGGGAGTCTCCCTGGCATACTGGGAGACTTGGTCTGTCTGGGGTGGGCTGGAACATGGGGGACATGTGCCATGGGGAGTCTGAACCAGTTTCCCCAGTCCCAGAAAGGCTGTCTGGTCCCCAGGGTTCCTCAGAGGGTAACGGGTCCTCCTCCGGCTGCTACTACTTAGGCAATAGCCTGAGCCCAGCCATTTGGAATGTTCACATTCAGTTATTGTTCTGTCAGATTGCCAAAATTTTCCTGAGGAATGTAAATGAGAGGAGAGAAGTGGTGATTTTCAGCAGTTTATATCTCAGCCAAACCTTAATGGAATTTCAAAGAAAAGGTGCTTCTCTAACCAAGTGGTTCTCAACCAGGGGTACACATACCCCTGGCGGTAGGCAGAGGTCTTTCAGGAGGTACATCAGTTCATCTAGATATTTGCCTAGTTTTACAACAGGCTACATAAAAAGCACTAGCAAAGTCAGTACAGACTAAAATTTCACATGGACAAAATGAGAAAAGTCAGCAATTTTTCAGTAATAGTGGGCTGTGACACTTTTGTATTTTTGTGTCTGATTTTGTAAGCAAGTAGTTTTTAAGCAAGGTGAAACTTGGGGTACACAGGACAAATCAGACTCCTGAAAGGGGTACAGTAATCAGGAAAGGTTGAGAACCACTGCTGAAGCCTAAAGGCATTCCCTCTACTGAATTTCAAAGGCCTGTTGTAAACAGTGGAGGTGTTAGAGCTTGTCAAAAAAGGTCACAAGAATCGTTTATACTAGGTGTTAGGCCACCTAAATATAATGGTCACTATCAACTCCTCCTGCAATAAAATAAATCACATTTGTTGTCCTAGCAGCTGGTGTGCTGCTGGACAGGTCTGAATGATATCACAGAATGTTTCTCAGCACTGCTGTTTACTAATGAAGGTGATAATCGGTGAATGATTGACTTGGATTGACTAGAACTCTCAGTCATTGCTGAAAAAAAGCCTATGAATTGGGCCTCCCCTATTTGGGTTTTAATGAAATCCTTGAATGAAAGCAGTAATGATATTTCTTTACTGATGGCTAAAGATGGACCTAGATTCAAACAACCCTGAGCTTTGGGGAAGTTCTATGCCATCTCTTCTGATTGCTAATATAGTTTTCACTTTTATCTCTTGAGAGTAGGATTAGCAGTATCAATCTAATTTTTGTAGTTACTGATGGAAGTTAGTGTATTTTGAATTAGATATCGTGTGCTGTGCACATTCATATCTCTGGTTCTTAATGCTGTATCGATCTGTCAACAATCTATAAATTGCTCATAGAGAAATATCATACCAAATATATAACAGCTTGTAATAAAAACTACTCTTTTGATTCATGTAAACTAGTGGTATTGTGTTATAACAGTGACCTTTTTTTTCTTTTTCTTTTCTTTTTTATTCTTTTTTGGTTTTTTTTTTTTTGCTATTTCAGTTATTTGGTTGTTTCTTAGCATGGGAGACTCGAAATGTCAGCATTCCTGCTTTGAATGACAGCAAATACATCGGGATGAGCGTATACAATGTGGGGATCATGTGTATTATTGGAGCTGCAGTTTCATTCCTCACTCGGGATCAACCCAATGTTCAGTTCTGCATTGTTGCTTTAGTCATTATATTCTGCAGTACCATTACACTCTGCCTTGTTTTTGTACCTAAGGTAGGTGAATTCATTTATGCTAGTACTTACATTGTTACTTGATTTTTGTATGATAATTCTATATTAATTTCATTACACCTACAAGCAAGAGGAATATGTGAGATTTCTAAATCAAGCCAATCTGTTATGCATTAAATTATCTCTGAGCCCTAGTGGGAGAGGGGGTGAACTTCCATGAGATTTTGGAAAAAGATGAATACATAAAGCAAAAGGTGCAAGAACTTGAATACATACATTTCTAATGCATACATCTCACTATCTCACTAAGTCTGCGGGAAACAATGATTTGCATCTATAATTTGAATAGGTCTCTGGTTCCTTCTTTTAAGGAATGCAAGAGAGGAAGGGTGCTATTCATAGGCTTAGAAGACCTGGGTTCAATTTTCTGCTGTGCCTCAGACATGCTATGTGACCTAAGGCAAGTTACTCCATCTCTCTAGGTATGTTTACACAGCCCACAGCAGCTCAGGTCAACAGACTCAGCCTCACGGGGTTTGTGCTGCCATGCTAAACATAGATGTGTAGACAGTGCTTTGAAGTTCTGGCTCAGGCTGGAGCTTGGGCTGCAGAGTCCACTGCTCTCCTTAGGCTTCCAGAGCCTGAGCTCCAGCCTGAGCCACCTCACCTACACAGCTACTTTTAGTGCAGTAGCCTGAGCCCTGCAAGCCCAAATCTGTCGACCCAGCCTGGGAGGTTCACTGCCACGGGCTGTGTAGACATACCCTCTATGCCTTGGTTCCTTATCTGTAAAACAGCCATAAGAGTGTTGGGCTACATTAGAGGGGTATAGTGAGGATAAATATGTTAAGGACTGTGAAGCACTCAGACACAGCAGGAATGGTTGCCACATAATAGAATCTCCTACGAACACAGGATTTGTAATATAATAGCAGACTATTGGTCCATCAAGTCTGGGATGCTGCCTACATTAGTGGCCAATATCTGATGCGTCCAAGGGGGGCCCTCCCAAAAAAGCCTAATCCATCTCACCAACTGTGCAATTCGATGATAGAAGGAGAGAGGAATTCTTTCCTGACCCATGTAGATGTGCCCTGAAACACAAGATTTAATTGCCTTTTATTATCTTTGAGCTCCTCTTGTATATTTATATTATGCACTGGTGGAATGAATCAGAATGTATTCACAAAGAGCCAGAGTCTGATGTCACTCCACAAATAGTCCCATTCACTTGTGAAATGAGGTGCTAGTCAAGGTGAGTCCAACAGAACCTGAGTCAAAGGGAAATTGATTCCTATGGGAATTTGACTTAGTAAAGACCTCATTTTTTGGAAATCTACTTGATATTTTGAAGTAAAATAAACCTAAATTAAATGTATAGCCTGGATGACTTTCATATAGTTAGTTGGAGACTGGATGCCTCAGAGACTGGGAGCCTTTCGCCTCTAGGTCACCAGGTCCAATCCAACTAAGGTTAATAACGACCAAATGTCAACAATTCTTTAGTGGCTTATGTAAAGTAAGTTTGTGGAATCTGTTCCTAGCCAGAAGAAAAAGCAGTTCTTAGTGAACAGGTGTCCACATCACAAAAGTGCCAACACATCTGGCAGTGATTGGCATTTTCAGCAGATAGACCAACTACAAATGGGAGCAGGAACTGAACTACTAAATCTCCTCTAAATGTGGTTCCTGAAGGTAAGGGTTGAGACATGTGGGTGGAATGTCACGTTAGCTGACCAGTAGTGCTTTATGCGTTCTGCGGTTAGAGTAATTCAGTCTCCAGGGCTGTATAGTCCAACTTTTTTATACTGGATCCTACAGAAGAATTACTTACAACATAGCCATAAGTTAAGAGAGCCTATTCATAAACACAATCATAAAGCAAGAGATTTAGGAGAACTGGTGAATGACAAATTGAATATGAATGCATATCTCCCCATAGGATCTTCTTGATTTCTTCAAAGGAAAACAACTTGACAAAATCTGACAAGACCATCCCTATCACACCTCTCCATCACACTCTCCTCCCTCTCCCCTATCACAGACACTGAGACTGTTTCCCAGCTTTCATCTAACCCCTGCCCTGCCCTGCCCTCCTCTCCCCTCCCCTCCCCTCCCATCCCTTCCCATTTCTTAGGCTGACTCACCCCTGCTCTTCTTCTTCTCCTCAGCTTCTCACTCTCCTCAGGTTCCTTCCACTCACAATGCAAATATGCACTGATGTCTCCGAGCATAAAAAAATCTCAACCCCACACCATCAATCTATTATCTTATTGCCAATCGCCCAGGGAAAATCCATAAAGCCACCAAATTGCCCTTTTTCACATCCCTCCTCAGAACTCTCAGCCCTGATGCATACAGAATACTGAAGCCCGATCATGGCTAGTCAGGGGGAGTGCTGTGATCACTCCTCCTGAAGGGCTAAAAACTGCACATACCATCTTAGGTTTGTTGTCCTGCTTCCCCTTCCCTCCATCCTAGCCCACTTGTTTGTCTCCGCCCCCTGTTATGTCTTGTCTTTTAGACTCTAAGCTCTTTGGGGGCAAGGACTATTGTTTACAGTGTTTGCACTGTGCCTAGTAAAATGGGGCCCAACCTGGTTGTGGCCTTTTTGTGCTACCCTGAATATAAATATTAAATAAAATTATAATTATAATTATAATAATTAATAATAAATCTGTCAAATCAGTTCTAGAATATAATTACAGGATAGTTACTTGTATGACTAGAGAGGCTTTATTGATACTGCATGCTGCTTTGGCAAGTTGCGGCACCTGTAGATGGGGGTACCACAACCTTTCTTAACTGAGCATTAATTAAAGGGATATCGACCACTTGACTTTTTTTTAAATGACTTTTTAAAATTCCAGCTTTATGGCATACCAGGTAAAGATGGTCTCTCTGAAAGTGGCTTTTTAATTTATTTATTTTTGAAAAATTAATTCTTATTTTAAAAAGTCATTATGTTGATAGCTGTAAGAGTGATTTCTGGAAGGGAGTAACTGACTGCCCAGGAGAAACAGTGACTCTACACAGATGACTGTCAAATACACAAAGTAAACAACTGAACAAAGAGAAAAACCATTTTCTCTTTACTTTCTTTCAGTTCAACTATCTTAGCTCAGGATATAGGACATAGCAATTACCATATTAGCTCAGCCCAGTGGTCCATCTAGTTGAGTAACCTGTTGCCAGCACAAGATGCTTCAGAAGAAAGTGCAAGAAAGCTCATAATGGAATAACTAGGTCAGAGAGCAGTTTAGTCCTAACTTTTCTTCACCTAGAGGTTGCCTTATACCCCAAAGTATGCAGATTCATATCCAATATATTGTTGCCTACCTAACTTTGGAAGATCTTCTTATCCATATAAAAGTCCAATCATTCTTAATAGAATTACATTGTTAGCCCCATTAATATCTCATGGAAATGAGCTCCATAGGTTAAATATGCATTGGGTCAAAAATTGTTCCTATTAGAAGTTTTTAATCTGCTGCCTTTAAAGTCCCTTTTTTCTTGCAATGTATACCTTTAACATGTCCCCACTTATTCATCTCCTTTCTAAAGTAAACAATCCTAATCGTTTTAGTTTCTCTTCATATAGAAATCTTCCCATGCCTGTTGATTTTTATCACCCCTTTCTGAAGCCCTCTTCTTCTGCTATAGCCTTTTTGAGATGGGGTGATCAGAAATGAGCATAGCATTCCGTATGAGAGCATAGCATTGATTGGTATAATGGTATTAAAACATTTTCCATGGTATTTTTAATCCAATTTCTTATGCATCCTAATATTTTACACCAGTGCAAAGTGAGTACAAAGTTGATGTAAAACTCTATCTTTCTAATTCAGTAGCATTTGACACCAACTTTGGACCGTTGAAAATGACTGTACAAGTGCAGAGCAACAGAGGATTGGTTAAATTTTATGGCTGGAGGGGACCATTGTGATACTTTAGTCTGGCATCTTGTGTAACACTGGCCATAGATTTCACCTACTGATTTTTGCATCTAATCTAACAACATATGGATGAAGTGGAACACGGCTTTGTAGCATGACGTCCAAATCTTGATTTAAAGACTCCCGAGTGATGCAGAATTCACCACATTCCTTGGTCAGCTGATCTGATAATTAATTACTCTTTTTTTGTATTATTTCCAATTTGAATTTAGTTCACTTCAAACTTCCAAACTTTGTGATATTTTTTTTCTGCTCGATGAAAAAGTTACTCAGACTCTACCTTAACTCCATCTTAATGCAGTTTTTTGTCTGGGAATATAACTATAAAAACGGGATACAATAGTCATTAATAGCTTAACTTAATTACAACCTTCAAATGTAGCCTATTACCATAGCCTGTCTGCATCTCTCATTCATAACCCCATCTTCTGGAATGATCACTTCAGTGCCTGATCAGCCTCTTCCCACCTCTATCGGAAGTGGAGTCCCAAAGAGAGGCATTTTTCCCTCCATTCCTTCGGCTCATGAAACCAACTTCCCTAACTGGAGGATGTGGGGAGCCAGCTCTGTGGTGGAACAGTACTACCATGTCCTTATATGCCATCTCTTCAAATAATTCGCTATCTCTGTAGGCCTCACCGGTTCGTCAGCTTTGGCCTTAAGAGGCTGCACTGGGCTTGAGGGCCATGAGAGGCTCAAAGTGGGTTTATACATATGTCACTTGGCAAATGGTCATACAGTTTGCACTCTCTGAAGTAAACTGGATAGCCCCCACCCTTGTTAAACTGCTGCTGGCCTTCCACCTTCAAGTGGAGGTTTTTTCTCTGTCACTGTCTACTAGGTTGTACTAGGGTTTATCTTTATCTTTAAGTTTGAGCTTAACCTTTTTTTTAAAAATGTGGTGTATTTAATTTATCTGAATGGCTATTCTTTATTTTAGTCTACTAATGGCTGCCTACTCCTCCTCCCCTGCTGCTGAACTCCCACCCAGTCTAAAATCCCTGTGATCCCTTTGTCGGTACCTCTCTTTCTCATTCTATCTCTCTGCTCACCACATTCCTTGTAACTATAGGGTGTAAGAAATTTTCAGACAGAAGTGTGATTTTTAAGTTGAATGTTTCCCTTTGAAGGATGACAATATCAATGAAAGGAAAGAACTAACAAGGGATGATGCAGTAAATTTTAAAAATAATATATTTAACTGGAACTTTAAGAAACATTTCCCAATAATTGGAAAAAATGGAACAGTTCATCTTGCAAGGTTATTGTAGCTCAACAGTCTTCATGATCACAGAGAAATTGTCCTCCATGTGGAAAGTAAAGTGTACCTTCTATTATTTTTATTTGGGGGGCCAGAAGAAACTGATATAAAAATAAAATCCTCTGCAGAATTTCTCACAGCTTTTAAACCTTTCAGTTAATCACACTGAGGACAAATCCTGATGCGGCCACTCAGAACAGACGTTTCCAATTCACTCAAAATCAAAAGAAGGAAGACTCAAAAACATCAACATCAGTCACCAGTGTCAATCAAGCCAGTACATCTCGGCTAGAAGGACTGCAGTCAGAAAACCACCGCTTGAGAATGAAAATCACAGAGGTATCATTTATTGTATAGACTAAACCAGATAAATCTGTCCTGTGGATGAAATACGTTATTTGCATAGCTGTAAAGCCATACAAAGCTTAACCTTACTCATTTTTTTCAACCAAAACCTCATAATTTTAGCCTGTGTTTCTAAAGAAAGAAAGTTGGTTAGCAAGTGGGAAAAAATTAAAATCATAAGTATTGTCATACTTATAAACTAATAGAGATGAGACACTTCATCTCATCACAGATGATACCTTTATCAGCTTTATGTGAAACTTCCCTCGTTTCTGAGAATTCCCAACAGGTACATGAACTCTCTATGCTACCTGTAGACAGACTAAACACCTCTAGTTGTACAGGTGTAGTTGTAAAAGTGCAAATCTTATATCATGACCACCATGGGACTCAAAGAGTAGGTATGGTATATTGACATTTTTTATTGTACCTTGCAGCATCCCAATAATAGTTCCACTTTTACTGAGTTGGTCCAATACCCCAATTTTGAGGTAGCAGAGTGTTCTAGTGGATAAGGTACAATGCTGTGAATCAGGAGATCTGGATTCTGTTCCCATTTCTGCTGCTTAATTGCTGTATGACCTTGAGCATGTCACTTCACCTCTCTGTGCCTCTGTCTGTACAGTACCTAGCAAAATGGAACTCTGATCTTGGTTGGCACTTCAGGGCACTACCATAGTATAAAATTCGCTATTACCAGAATAGGAACAAACTATGTTGGAAATCATACCGGTTCTTCATAGCATTTGTAGAGAGGTCCAAGAGTAGAAGTTCTTTCTGTTCAGACTTTGTCTAAATGGATTAAACTAGATACCAAAACCTGCCAAGAGCAATCAAGAGTTCCAGTGTCAGAAGAACTCGGGGCTCATTCTATTAAAGCCTGTGACTACCTCTACAGCTTACTTTCATCGTGTTTCCAGATCTGAGATTTATAAAGAAGCAATATAAAGTTAAATGAACACCTTAATTCATTATTATGGTCTCAGTTATAGAACCAGATCAAATTCTGGGGACAGATTGTCCCTAGAATTGTGTAAAGAGAGTGGTACAAGGAGCCCCTTGTAAGTACCAGGAGTAATTACAATCCAGACCCTGCTCCACTCCCTACTCAGGACTGTACCTATTAGCACAATTTAGCCCTCGGGGAGGTCATTCTTCTTTTCTGTACAGTCCTTTATGGTGCAAGTGCAGCAGGCCAGTGTTCTCTCTCTTGATCTTCCAGGCATGTTGCTGGGGTGAGGTCTTTGATTCTCTCTCCCTACAGTCTGAAGGATGCTTTCAAAGAGTTCAGGATGTTTTTCCCCTTGCCTGGAGGCTGGTACCAAGGGCAGTGCCAACCAAAAACAGCAGCTGAATGGCCACCTGCTGACTGGCAGGTTGGTCAGTTTGAGTTATGAAGGATCTAAAAAGTTAGAAAATAATTTTCAAATCACAGAAAGCATGGAACTTTCTCAACTCTGTCATGAGCTTGATTGTCTTGAAACCTTCCAAAAATGACACCTCTGAGCTGAATTATAGAAAAACGTCCTCATAAAAGGAGTTTCTCTGAGACAGTTAAAAGGGAGTGAAGATACCATTTAAAAGAATGTTGTTTGTCCCAGGATATTAGAGAAGCAAGGTGGGTGAGCTAATATCTTTTATTGGACCAACTTCTCTTCGTGAAAGAGACAAGCATTTGAGTATACACAGAGCTCTTCTTCAGATCCTGTGTAAGCTCAAAAGTTTGTCTCTTTCACCAACAGAAGTTGGTCCAATAAGAGATATTATCTCACCCAGCTTGTCTCATTTAAAAGAAGGAAATGCTTCCTGCAGTCTTGACTTCATAGTCACATAGTCACATCCATGATGCCACAATTTGGGTAAGTTTCCTTTTTAATTGCCAAAACTAAACAAATGAGTTACTTATGTCAGTACTACTTTGTTATTGTTATAAGAAAATGTTATGCATAGGGTGAGTGTGTGTGACAGGACACAAAAGCAGCTCAGGGAGAAAGGGGTCACATTTGCACTCTCAGGATTCTGGCTGGTTAGGGGCCAGTGTTGCTTCCAGCACAACTTAAAATAGGCCAGGGCTGACCTAAGCTGCGGCATTTCCTGCCTGGGCTGTCTGAGTGGCTGTGCACCCTGCAGTGTCCATAATTGGTATAGCAATGTACACTATAGAGATCACTCAGCTTCTCCTAACATGCCTCATTCCATTCCAACACACATCTTGTGCGTAGGACCTACACTGGGGAATTCTCTCCGAGCTCCTTGTGGTGCCTTTAGGGTCCCATATGCTGGCTCAGTGGCATACAGGGTCAGGAGCAGCACAGAGAATCCCTCCCATAACTCTGAAAGCCAGAGGCACCATTATGATCACCTAGTCTTAACTCCTGCACAACATACACTTGATTATATCAATCTCTTGTTTAAAAGCTTTCTCTTTACATCATGTTATCAAATATTTTGACATTTCATATATTGTTTGATTACTGAATCTGCTAAATGACTGAATCTTTCTGTGCATTACTGATGCACTGACTCAGACAAGGTCAAATTTAAAAATAACAGAATTCCTACAAAGGGCTGCGTACAGGTTGCTGTGGAAATCAATGTAGTAGCCACCTGGTCAAGTGAAAAATTCTCTAAGTTACATCTGTAATGTGTGTGCAGTGAATGAAATTAAGAGGTTTCCATGCAAGGCATGCCAGTGTCCAAGGGACTCGCTCTCTTATTCAGCAAGACGGCAATGTCATGTGAAATAAAATTTGCTTAACTAAAATGAAAAGTACTAAATGACAAAGCAGCTTGTTTTTTTTTCATTTGTATGTTATCTCTAGCAAATAACAGTATTTATTGGCTATTTAGACTCCTATGTGCACAGCTTTCCACTTTAACTAATTTTGGTACCTTTAGCGTGACTTTTGGAGGTACTATACGGTACCTCCAAAAATCAGTATTTGACACACTGCAGTAATTGCAATGTCAAGCTGTCTACTATTCTAATGATAGAAAGCTATGCATTTAGTGCCCATACTGGAAGCAGCGACTTGAGTTTTTAATGGTTCCCACTAGGACTGTCAATTAATCACAGTTAACTCACGCGATTAACTAAAAAAATTAATCACAATTAAAAAATTAATTGCGATTAATTGCATTTTTAATCGCACTGTTAAATACCAATTGAAATTTATTCAATATTTTTGGATGTTTTTTTACATTTTCAAATATATTGATTTCAATTACAACACAGAATATAAAGTATACACTGCTCACTTTACATTATTATTTTTGATTACAAATATTTGTATTGTAAAAATGATCAACAAAAGAAACATTTTTCAGTTCACCTCATACAAGTACTGTAATGCAATCTCTCTATTGTGAAAGTGCAATTTACAAATGTAGATTATTTTTTGTTACATAACTGCACTTAAAAACAAAACAATGCTAAACTTTAGAGCCTACAAGACCACTAAGTCTTACTTCTCATTCAGCCAATGGCTAAGACAAACAAGTTTGTTTACATTTACGGGAGATAATGCTGCCCACTTCTTATTTTAAACATCATCAGAAAGTGAGAACAGGGATTCATATGGGACTTCTGTAGCTGGCATTACAAGGTATTTATGTGCCAGATATGCTAAATATTTGTATGCCCCTTCATGCTTCAGCCACCATTTCAGAGGACATGCTTCCATGCTGATGATGCTCATTAAAAAAAAATGTGTTAATTAAATTTGTGACTGAACTCCTTGGGGGAGAATTGTATGTCTCTGGCTCTATTTTACTGGCATTCTGACATATATTTCATGTTATAATAATCTCGGATAATGACTCAGCACATGTTCATTTTAAGAGCACTTTTGCTGCAGATTTGACAAAACGCAAAGAAGGTAGCAATGTGAGATTTCTAAAGATAACTACAGCACTCGACCCAAGGTTTAAGAATCTGAAGTGCCTTCCAAAATCTGAGAGGGATGCAGTGTGGAGAATGCTTTCAGAAGTCTTTAAAGAGCAATACTCTGATGCAGAAACTACAGAACCCACATCACCAAAAAAGAAAATCAACCTTCTGCTATTTGCATCTGACTCATATGATGAAAATGAATGCGTCAGTCCACACTGCTTTGGATTGTTATCAAGCAGAACCTGTTATCAGCATAGACACATGTCCCCTGGAAAGTTGGTTGAAGCATGAAGGGACATATGAATCTTTAGCGCATCTGTGACACTGGCTACAATAGTGCCATGCGAACACCTGTTCTCACTTTCAGGTGACATTGTGAACAAGAAGCGGACCGCATTATCTCCAGCAAATGTAGATAAGCTTGTTTATCTGAGCGATTGACTGAACAAGAAGTAGGACTGAGTGGACTTGCAGGCTCTAAAGTTTTACATTGTTTTATTTTAAATGCAGGGTTTTTTTGTACATTCTACATTTGTAAGTTCAACTTTCATGATAAAGAGATTGCACTACAATACTTGTATTAGGTGAATTAAAAAATACTATTTCTTTTGTTTTTTACAGTGCATATATTTGTAATAAAAAATAAATATAAAGTGAGCACTGTACATTTTGTATTCTGTGTTGTAACTGAAATCAGTATATTTAAAAATGTAGAAAACATCAAAAAGCATTTAAATAAATGGTATTATATTATTGTTTAACACTGCGATTAATCGCATGATTAATTTTTTTAATTGTGCGATCAGTCGTGATTAAGTTTTTGTTTAATCACTTGACAGACCTAGTTCCCACTCATTAGATTTCTTATACTGTGTTTTTGTCTTACAGCTGGACAAAGATTTAGAAGAGGTTACTATGCAGCTCCAGGACACACCGGAGAAGACAACATATATTAAGCAGAACCACTATCAGGATCTTAATGACATCCTCAGTATACGGAACTTTACAGACAGCAAAGGTAAGAATCACTGATGCCTGCTAAGGGCTTGGTCCTGCAAGGTATTAAGCAGTTTGGCCCCCATGGACTGGCTCCAGAGGGCTCTGCATTTTACTGGATTGAGTGTTAAATTATAAGGTTTCATTTTGCAAATATGCAGAATCTAATACTAAACTATACTGTGTTCAAAAAGAACAGGAGTACTTGTGGCACCTTAGAGACTAACAAATTTATTAGAGCATAAGCTTTCGTGGACTACAGCCCACTTTTTCGGATGCATATAGAGTGGAATAAATATTGAGGAGATATATATACACACATACAGAGAGCATAAACAGGTGGGAGTTGTCTTACCAACTGCTTAGTTACCTCACTGTATAAAATGGCCTTATCCTGTTGTGCGCTCTAAGAGCATATCATATACATATAAAATATCATAGAGAAAGACGTTTTGAAAGATATTCAGAATCAAGGATTTTCTGTGTTGCAAGCAGGAATAGAAAGTCATAGCGGGATGATTAAAAAGACTTTCTTGTTTTATTTTGGATGTTGTGACAATTAACTGAGGCTACATCTACACTACAGGGGGGAGTCGATTTAAGATACGCAAATTCAGCTACGTGAATAGCGTAGCTGAATTCGACGTATCGCAGCCGACTTACCCCGCTGTGAGGACGGCGGCAAAATCGACCTCTGCGGCTTCCCGTCGACGGCGTTTACTCCCACCTCCGCTGGTGGAGTAAGAGCGTCAATTCGGGGATCGATTGTCGCGTCCCGATGGGACGTGATAAATCGATCCCCAAGAGGTCGATTTCTACCCGCCGATTCAGGCGGGTAGTGTAGACCCAGCCTGAGTCAGTATTAAACATGACCTGACCTGACCTGAAGAAAAGTTCCATGTAAGCTCAAAAGCTTGTCTCTCTCACCAACAGAAGCTGGTCCAATAAAAGATATTACCTCACCCATGTTGTCAGTATTAAATATGGGAAACCAAGTTTTCAAACATGATGGTCTTATTAGGGTGTCCACATTTTGCTTTTGGCAAAAAGCCACAAAAAATAAATATTTATGTGCTTATATACTAAGTGCTGATTTGAGCTTCCAAACATCAGATTGGAGACATTTGTGTTTGAAAACTGTTACCTAAAAATAGGCTGTGCTAAAAAGGAATTTTCATTACTACTATAGCTACCCCACAGCTGCTTTCCACCATGTATTTTGCATCACTCCACAAAGAAATACAGGCAAAACAATTACTTCCATTAAAGATGTTCCGCTATTGAGAAGCAGCATGCTCCACTTGAGTCACAGTCAGGACACCTTGGTTCTATTTCTGGCTCTGACATTGATCTGCTTTGTGACTAAAATGGGGATAATGATGTGACAAATCAGGAAAATGGCTTATTATTCACATTAATCTTATGTATGACCCTATTTCCCTGTTTGGTTTGATATTGTTACCTGCCTGAATGCATAATCAAATCAAAGGGGGTTGTAAAAGTAAAATCAAGGAAGGGTAAACAATAACACATACTAGACAACCTGTAAGGTACCCATTTCAAAGAAGTTAAGAACAAGAACTGGGCCATCAGCTGGAAGAAGAAACTACTTTGCTAGAACCACCCAGACTAAGGCATGTATCTCTTCCCAAGGCAGAAGGGGCAGCCTGACTAGGGAGTATGACAATAATGATAAATATTATCCTTTTTAAATCTACAAATGAAAATCACTATCTAAGAGGTAAGTATTATATATGTCAAGCTGTCCCCCAGTGGCTCAAGAGCATGAGTACCAATTTCAGGGCAGGCTGTCAGGAAACAGAGCATATACCCCAAATTGGCTGTGAGTTCTGTCCGTACATTTCACTAACCAAGTACCATGTGTAAACTTCTCAGGCACTAAAACACTAGTCACAGACATTGCCTGTGGGTATTCCAATCTATTATGCCACCTAAGCAAGCTTACCTTTGTGATAGATGGTCCCTTACACCAAAAATCACAATGATATTCAGGTTACTCCCAATCCCAAAGGACAGATCACTTACCCCAGGTCAATTGCACTCTAGTTCTTATACCAAAGACAACGCTTGTAGCCAATCCTATAATAAACACTCTAAAGAATTAACTAAGAAAAAGAAATGAGAGCTATTTACAAGGTTAAAGCAGACAAATATACACACACAAATGAGTTACAGTCTTAGGTTCCAAAAGTGATAGAAGCTGCTGTAATATGCAGATTCTATATCTCCTTTAGGGCTAACCCAGGGTAGGCAGCTGGGGATCCCTTGCTTATGCTTAGAAATCTTGCTGTCCCAAAGTCCAAGCAGCAAAGAGATACAGTTTCTTCTTGTGAGGGATTTTTCAGAGTTCAGGGTGATGGGATGAGTTCATGCAATGTCTCCTCTTTCTGAGGGGAAGAAGGGGAGGAATGCAATTAGCTAAGTCTTTGTTCTTTGATGTTTCACAATGGCTCATTTGGTTTCAATGGACCTTCTTGATCGGCAGGAACTAACACCTTCTGTAGGAAGCCAGCATTTTACATTAATTAATGCTTCTTTTCTGTTTGATGATTTACACAATTATGGAGGATTACCAGGCAAACACTTAATACCACTTTATAACATGGAGTACAGATGTTGTAAGTGAGATTAGTACATGCAGTATCCTACAAGCATTTCATAAAGTCTAAAAACTAAACACATTTTTATAACTCTAATATCTATTTTAACAATATTTACACACAGGTGAGCCCGACTGGTTTCAGCTATTTATTTGTTAGTGTTCAGTTGAAGCCTACATGCCTTGGCATGAGCTGGCACCTGGTCTGCCAAAGTCACAATATATATTATTGGAAAAACTAATTGCTATTCATTGGGGTGTCACAGTGAGACATCACAGAATTGGTTAATAGATTTCCAGGTCAGAAGGGACCATGATGATCATCTAGTCTGATATCCTGTATAACACATACTGAAGAACTTCCCCAAAATAATTCCTAAAGCGTATCTTTTCAAAAAACATCCAATCTTGATATATATATTGTCAATGATGGAGAATCCACCACAATTTAAGTTGTTCCAGTGGTTAATTACTCTCACCTACGGCTGTCAATTAATCGCAGTTAACTCAGCGAGTAACTAAAAAAAAATTAATTGTGATTTCAAAAAATTAATAGTGATTAATCACAGTTTTGATCGCAGTTAGTACTAATTGTTGTTACCTTTTCTTGAATATTCCATTCTTTCACAACATCCAAGAAATTCTCTACACATTTTTCAGCATAATGTCTCTCTTCAGTAGGTGTTACTGCTAAAGCAAATGACTGCAGTGTCCATGCAGCATCAATCAGATGTGCTGTGACTCCCAAGATAGCAGTGATTGCTCAAGGATGTCCAAGGATCACCAGTCACAGCAAGCAGTGCATTTTTAAGAAGCTCAAACTTTATAGTCTTCTTGTTGTGATATAGGTCATGTATTCCTCGGGAGGTGTGACTGATTGGAAAATGCAATTTGAATAACATCTCTTGGTTCTCTGTCATTTACAATGTTGAATAGTCTGCAGACCATAGCTATTCACTTTGCAATAGCATTGGTTAAGCTATTGTACTTTCTTTCATACATGGGCTTGCAAAGATCCTGAAACTCTGTAAGGTTACTCTGTCACGGCTGGAGAGATTCATTTGCTGTCGGTGGGTTATCTGTAGCACAAGACCTGGAGGCGAAAGCATGTTTAGTGTGTAGATAGTACTGCAGACTTGAAGTATTTCAATGTATTAGAACTTAGCCTTGCAATAGCTACATATCACCGTCTTTTTATCCAGTGCAATCAAAACTATGATTAATCACAACTAATTTTTTTAATCGCTTAATAGTCCTACTTATGAAGCTCAGTCTTGAAACAAGTTAGTTTATTTCCCCCCACTACTCCCCTAGGAAGGCTGTTCTGGGCCTTAAACTTCCATCTAACTTCAAGCCTAAATTTGTTGATGGCCAGTTTATATCCATTTGTTCTTGTACTACCCCTGGCCCTTAACTTAAATAGCACCTCTCGCTCCCTGATGCTTATCCCTCTGACGTATTTATAAAGAGCAATCATACCTCCCCTCATCCTTTGTTTTGTTAGGCTAAACAAGCCAAGATCCTTAAGTCTCCTCTTGTAAGGTAGTTTCTCCATTCCTCTGATCCTCCTAGCAGCCCTTCTCTGAACCTGTTCCAGTTTGAAATCACCTTTGTTAAACATAGGAGATCAGAATTGCATCCAGTATTCCAGATGAGGTCTCACCAGTACCTTGTAATAGTACAAGTGATAATAACACTTCCCTATCTCTGCAGGAAATACCTTGCCTGATGCATCCTAGGACTTAATTAACCTTTTTCACAGCTGCATCACATTGGCAGCTCATAGTCATCAATCAATGCACCCAGGTCTTATTCCTTCTCTGTCACTTCCAACTGATAAATCCCCATGGCCTTTCACTTTGCACTAGGGCTGTCAATTAAGGATTAATTCACAGCATGAGTAATGTGTTAATTCACGGGGTCTGAAGGCCGGAACCCCATGCCTCAAGGGGGGCTAAATGTAGGGGATCACAATTTTTTCTAGTGGGGGGAATCACATTTTTTTTAAGTCTATATGGGGTCGCCAGCACAAAAAGTTTGAGACACACTGCTCTAAAGTTTTACATTGTTTTATTTTTGAGTGCAGTGATGTAAAAAAAAAAATCTACCTTTGTAAATTGCACTTTCATGTTAAAGAGATTACACCATAGTACTTCTATGAGGTGAATTGAAATACTGTATTTTTTTAATCTTTTTTCCATTGCAAATATATGTAATAAAAATAATATAAAGTGATCACTGTAGATTTAGTATTCTGTGTTGTAATTGTAATCAATATATTTGAAAATGTAGAAAACATCCAAAAATTTAAATAAATGATATTCTATTATTAACAGTGTGATTAAAACTGCGATTAATTGCAATTAATTTTTTAATCTCATGATTAATCACAATTTTTTAAA